ATAATATATATATTATATTATAAAATATTAAATAACAATAATAATAATATGATTCTGATAGTTTGGTTTTTATTTCTTTTTAAGAAAACATTAATATTAATTGGGAAATATGTATAAATATGTATGTGAATAATAAAATACAATTGTTATAATTTGTTTTATTTGTTGGTATTTCATATGATAGAATATCAATATTCAGTATAGCCTGTGATTATTATATTCATTTATTCATTTTTGGTTAAATAAGTATGAACAAATTAAATTTAACAAATTAACACAATACAGAGAGGTAATCAAATAAAAATAAAATTGTATACCTATTATTTATGAATTTATATTGTATTATTCATAAGTACAATAATGCCAATAACTATATTATTATTGTTAAACATAAACATTTAATAACCATTTTTAATTCAATTACCTATCAATATTTTATTTTTTTAATTATTCTAACATCCAGGTTTTCAAATTAATTTAAACATAGTTTAATTTTTAACTTTTCAACAGTTGGTGTTACTGAAATAAAAGAAGTAGAAATAAATGTTGCTGTAGATAGTTGTACTGAAATAGTTAAAACAACCAAAGAAAATAGAAACAAAATTAAATGGGATCCTTATTATGAAAAAGTAAAAAAAGAAAAAGGTCGTACAATGGTTAGATGTTCTATTTGTGTTAAGCATAAATCTACTGTTTTATTACATACTAAACAAAAAAAATCATTTGCCACCTATTTGTACTGAGTTAGGTACAATTCCAAGAAATGAAATTTTAATAAATCATTTAGGCTCTATTGAACATAAAGAATGTATAAAAGTAGAAAATATGAAAAATCTATCAACATCTGAAATTAATATTAATGCTCCTTTAAATAAACTTGTTTCAAAACAAAATGAAAAATTAGCTCTCAAAATTGGGAAATTCATGATTGAAGTATTTAATGATGCTAAAAGAGGAACTCTCAGTGCTTGGTCTTGGCCATCAAGAGAAGTTGTGCAAATTAAAAAAAGTCAATTAAATTTATTAGAACCACCAAAAAAAATTGATATTAAAGAAGGTGATTTACAATACATTAATCCAACAACACATAATGAATTATTGAACTCAATAGTTGAAACAGACAAGCCATTGTTAATGAATAAGCTGAAGACTGCACTAGCTATATCACTAAGAGTTGATGGGTCTGTTGATAGAACACAGGTTGACAACATTCATGTATTGGCTAAAATAATAACTACAAATGGAGATTCTGAACTAGTATTTATAGGTTTTAAAGAAACTATTCAAAAAGGAGAAATAGGATATTATGAAGTAATTAAATCTTTAATACAAAAGTTAATGTCATTTGAAGATTTTTTATCCATTTTGTCTTCAATTGCAACGGATGGAGCAAGTGTTAATATTGGACAAAAAAATGGACTGTGGGCGTTAATAAATTCAAATAGATGTTCTAATAATATCCAAGGACCATTATTAAAAATGTGGTGTGCTGTACATAGAAGTGCCTTAGCATGGGGGCAACTAACATCTAATGTAATTGAAGTGCATAAACTTATTGTTGCATGTTCGGGTATATCTTCATACTTTCATCAATCTGGTCTCAGAACCAAAGAATTGAAAGATATAGCAAATAATGAAGGTATGAGTTTTACCCAGTTGCCAAAATATTTTGAAGTGAGATGGACTGAATTTAAATACAATTTACTTCTAGGAATTTAAAAAAATTGGCGTATTTTAGTTAAATATTTTTTAAAAAAGAAATCAGAAGATAATGATGTTAAATCTGAAGGATTTTATAAAATATTGACAGATTATGACAAGATGATGTTGCTTTGTTTTTTGACAGACCTCGGTTATCTTTATGGTAGATTTCAAAAGCAAATTCAAACGGATGATGTATTAATATTTGATATAGAAACAAAAAAAAATACAGTTGTCCAAATGATTGAAAATTTAAAAGTGAGCCCTTTATTGGGTGGATGGGAATATGTGTTCAACAAAAATACAATTATAACCCATAATTCAGAATTTGAAAAAAATATTATTAAACTGCATAACATTGAATTATTTGATAAAAGTCAACAATCGAGAAGAAAGAAACATAATCTATATGTATCTGATAAACGTTCGTTTCTCGCANGTTTCTCGCAATACGAAACGATGTAATTGAACATATTGTTAATTACCTCAACACCCGTCTTGATTCATCCGAATGGCTTCCATTGAAAGTTTTAGAAAAAGTAAGTGATGCTGTAAGTGACGAAGAACTTCAAAAAGCACATCAAGTGATCTGCTCTGATTTTGAACTAGCTGATTTTGTTACGTCTTATAAAGAAGCTGCTGGGGTACCATGTATAAAAGATAAACAATTGTATACATGCTTTAAATTAGTTTCGTCTTGTTTAAATAACACAATAAAATTAGCGTTATCACGCAAAAGTTGTTTTGGCACTTTTGAATAACTCTGAGCCAGGTAGCAAACGTCTATTAAATTATGTCTAGCTCTGGAAAAGTAAGTTCTTGCAATATTTTGGTTTTCAGAAATAATATCGTCAAAAATAAATACAGAGTTTGGCAAAGCTTCTTCAGGTGCTATAACTTTTTCATTTTCGTAGAACGTGAATAATTGTATTCCATCAATGTCTGATAATATATCGCTGAGCATTTTATATTTAGGCTGATCCAATGTTTTCGAATATATGTATACGTTTTGAAATCGTATTCCGTTTATATTGGTTAATAATGTGTAAATTAAATTTGTTTTTCCGCAGCCAGAAGGGCCCACGATAAGCGCGCGTATCGTATTTGGTAGAAGCGCTCCGTGTCTGTGTTTTTGATCCGATGTAGGCGGGTCCACGTTTTCAACTGTTAGTTTTATTTCTTGTTTGATGAACTTCATTTTTTTATATAAATAACTGAGCAACTATGATAAATCAATCAGTACACAATGTCACTCGCTCGAAGAAGCAACAAGAATAAGGGCAGTGGACTTATCAACACGCTTATAAACAAATTACCAATCGAGCTTCACGTACCTGGTATTATATATATATATATATATATATAAACCTTATAATATTATAATATACAATAATAATTTTATATTCTAGGTTATCAATACTGTGGACCTGGTACAAATTTAAAAAAACGATTAGCACATGGTGATAAAGGTATAAACCCTCTGGACTCTGCTTGTAGAGATCACGATATTGCATACGAACATAGCAACTCTATCGCAGATCGAAACAAAGCCGATTATATATTAGAGCAGCGAGCCTGGGATAGGTTCAAGTCAAAAGATTCTAGTTTAAAAGAAAAAGCTGTGGCTTGGGGTGTGACTACCGCTATGAAGACAAAACGTAAAATAGGCGGAGGTTGTGGGTTTAAAGCAGCACTTAAAGCAAGTAAAAACGTTATGAAGAAAAATATCGGTGAAAAAAACTTGATGAAATTAACTAAAAAATGTGTAGCTGTCGCGCGAAAAACATTTAAAATTAAGAAGACTAAAGTTCCACGAACAATAACAATCCCGAAAAAAGGCGGCTTGTTACCACTCATACCGATTTTCGCCGGTTTGTCAGCTCTGGGAGCCTTAACTGGTGGTGTTGCCAACGTTGTGAAAATGGCTAATGAATTTAATAGACACACACCATCACATTTAGGCAAAGGTTTATATCTAACACCATATAAAGGCAACTCATACAAAATTGGTTCCGGTTTACATCTCGCACCATTTAAAAGTGGAGGGGATGTCAAAACTAAAAAAAACTAATATCTACGTTACCCAGGAGAGCGTTGTACGATTTCGAACTTATAAAAATCGCTCGTTTAATGAAAATACCTCATTTCATCGGCGTGTTTACCAGAGATAGGTTATCTACAAGTCCTAAACGCCAAGAATCAGCGATTATTAACTTGGACACGGAAAACGGTACAGGAACGCATTGGGTAGCGTATAAAAAAATCGGAAATCAAGTTGAATATTACGACAGTTTTGGAAATATACCACCCCCACTTGAAGTACAACAATATTTTCGCGGATGTGACATACATTTCAATTACAGCAGGGAGCAAAATTATAATACTACAAACTGCGGACATTTGTGTTTAAAATTTTTATCATGTTCACATTAACGTTAAACGGAAACTCTAGTGAGCTGTCATGCGAGATCTTTCCACCGTTGGAAGTAGAAAATACTGCACACTGTGCACAGATATGTCTTTTGAGTTTACAGACAAATAATTCTATACCAAACATAGAACCTGGCTGTAATACTATTGCCTTTCGTAATTTAATCAATGAAAATGAGTACGTAATTATACCTACAGGAACATATGAGTTGAATCAGTTAGAGTCTATTATTCAAAAAATTATGCCCGACTATGTCACTATGTTTGAATTAAAAGCAAACAGCAGAACATTAAAGTGTACGATATCGTGCAGCCATGATGTTGATTTAGGAGTCAAGAATAGCATAGCGAAATTGCTAGGTTTTAGAAATGTACAATACACTACTGGTGCTACTCATGAATCTGAAAATATTGTCAACATAATGAAAATAAACTGTATAAAAGTAGAGTGTAATTTAATCACCGGCTCATTCTGTGACGGAGCGCCGAGCCAGACTATACATGAGCTTTACCCCAATGTGCCTGCTGGGTATAAAATCGTTGAGGTACCTAGACACCCAGTTTTTTACGGTCTCAACACGAGATCTATAAGTAGAGTAATTGTCGTACTAAAAGATCAAGACGACTGTCTAATTAATCTTCGCGGTGAACCAATAACAGTCCGTCTACAAATCACGCGTGGATATGGCGCTCAAATTTAACATTAATATAAAAAGAGCTACAATCAAAAAACCTGCCAGTTTACCACCTGCCGTTAAGAAGTCAACATCTATGTCAAAATCGAAAAAAACTATTTCTAAACCGAAAAAAAACAAGTCCAAGCTCACTAAAAATAATTTAAATTTTCTCCGATCGCTGCAAGTATAATTATGGATGACACGTATTTAGACGTTACGGCCGACTATGTCGATGAGTGTAAAATAACGCAGATGAATTATCATTCGTTCACTCCGTACTCTAACATGTCTTTATCAAATAATGATGAAATAAGGATAAGTATTTTAAATATGGATTCGTACACTTTACCGTGTGAAAGTTATATTTACATCGAGGGAAAAGTAAATAAGCCAACCGATGCTGTTGGAGATGTTCGTTTTTCAAATAACGGATTGGCATTTTTATTCTCAGAAATGCGATATGAAATAAACGGAATAGAAATACAGAAATTAAAATCACCCGGAGTTTCGTCTTGCTTGAAAGCATACTGTTCGTATTCTCCAAACGATTTGAATACTCTAGAGAGCGCTGCTTGGGACTCGGCCATGGATAGTGAAGATAATAAAAATTGTATGCCCAACGATGTATTTACCGGGTGTATCCCTCTAAAACATTTATTCGGATTCTGTGAAGACTATAAAAAAATATTACTTAATTGTAATCAGCAACTGATTTTAAATCGTGCATCTACCGACCTTGATGCGATACATGTTGTTGGTGATGGCGCATCCTCAGCCGTTGATAAAAATAAAAAAATTAAAATTGAACTTACTAAGGTGACTTGGAAGATGCCTATTATCAAAGTCAGTGATAAAGAAAAATTAAGACTGATAAAAGTAATAGATTCACATAGAACACTGTCGTGTGCGTTCAGAACTTGGGACCTGTGCGAATATCCGATACTTCCTAGAAATACTTCTCATTCGTGGACGGTAAAGT